ATAAATACATTGTAAATGTAAATATATGTGCAAGTAAATAAATACATAAACATAAGCATGCATGCAAATAAATGAGTGCCTACTTCTGAATGTCGTAGTTACAAGCTAACAGATAACTTTATCTTTTAGACAGGATATCCTACTGCCTTTCCCATGTCTCAGATTTTCAGTAATTCCGTTTCTAGATTTATTGTTAATTACAAACTTTTACTGCTTTTTAAGACTCTTAAGTAGTAGCTTTTTTTCTTGATTGCATCCAGAGTAAATGAGATTATTATTTTGCATTTTCTTCCGTATCAAATTCCCCAAAGAAGGAGGAAATTCTTTGCTTTCTAGAAATATTCTGGAGAAAAGAGTGGCTATGCCGTGTTGGTTTTTTTTTTTTCTTTTTTTTTTTCAGTGCATCAGATGCTAATCTCTAACAACAAATCTTGCTGTCACTGAGACATTAGCTCAATTAAAATGTTATTCAGGGAGATAAATGTTGAAAGTCCCAGACATTCCTCCTATCAGCTAAGAAACAGATGATGATGAGCAAGGGGTGACATGAAACTAAAACTGGTGTCTGAAATCATCCAAATAACGTATTATATAATCTCAGATTTGAGAGCCATACTTAGCAAGAACATTTCAATTTGATCCATAGCACTCTCCAGTACTTGTATGACTGTTTTCTGCCTCTTTTTCACTCCTTTGTTTGTTTCTTAATGTTAGTACTGATAGCTGATCTGCTCTGTAGAATTAAAATATATCTCAATACAATTTCACTTTTTTTTCTGGACTGAAATATATCTCAGGTGATTCCCAATTAAAAAAAAAAAAAATTAGGCAAATTTGAGAATGGCGTACTTTTTTCCCTCTTTTTCTAGTACAAGATAGAAGGCATATATTAACTAATTATCTAATTTCTGTAATTTTGAGCCCATGTTTCTGACAGAGGTCATTTAAAAAAAGACCTTTAGCAGAAAAAAAACATGATGCCTCTATATGTTTTCACAGGGAATTTTTTCCACAAAGTTATATACCAGAGAGTTCAAAGAGTCTGTATGTTGTTTAGTTTTTATACAGATGTTCAGTGGTATAATGTTTACTTACAGAAACACAGCTGCTCATTTAAAATGCCATAAAAATAGTTAAATGGAGGTAGACCTAATCCTGTTTCTCCATACAGGTTTTATTTACATGTAATCCAGGACTTTTGCTTATCTACTGTATGTGAACGTTAGAAACCAAAAGCAGTTTTCTTTATTTGTGGAATGGAGGCACTATGTTTTTCTAATCTCGCAGTAAGTACTGCATCAAGACTTTGGGGAGCAAAATTCTAGCTGATGGGGCAGTGACCCCTTCTCCTTCTGGTCAGTCCTTTCCCTTGATCTCTGAAATTTAGGTTTAAGGCTGGTGATGGTGGCGTGTGCTGAAATGCAGGAGTGTGGGAAATCCCCGCTTAACAAAATGGCGGTGTTTTGTGGGAGGGGTCATCTGGTGGAACAAGGCCACTGGGGAGGAGAGCAGCTTTGAATCCCAGTGTTGCCTGAGTTTCGGCTGGCTTTTTGCGTTTTCACTGACCATAGTCAATAGATGCTGTAGCAACTGCAGCCATACAAGCCATCTCACCTGTGAAATACAGACAAGAAGCCCCCACAGGGCCTGTAATGCGAGGCCTTGCCCTTGTGCCTCCACAGAGCCAGCCTCACCAGGTGCTTCCAGTGCCCAAGAGGGGCTTCTTGCTGTCTACTGAACTTCTTTTTTTTTTGTGAAAATAAACCCACAGAGATTTTCAACCCATCTCTCTTCTGTTCTTGATGATGATTTGTGGAACTCTGGTCCGTGGCCAGTGACTGACTGACCACCGAATGGGATGGGGCTTACCACGTGGAGGATCTGCAGAGGGGCTGGGGTCATGCTTTTATGACCACTTTAAGTCTATCAAGATGTGGTGAAGCTGATGTGAAGAGTTCTGTGAGAATGTTTAGAGATAACTAAATGATAAAAGTAGCTCCCTCTCATCCAAGTGGGCTCATCTCCTTTGAGCCTTCGGTGACCTGCCTGGATGGGGAGGAAGGTTATGACAGTGTTCCCCCTTGAAGGGTGAAACTGGGGTTCTAACCACCCCAAATACGCACCCTTTTAGGGGCAAGACCTGACTCCTGGTTCAGTTAGGGCAAGGGAGCTTCATCCCTTTTCAAGTGGCACTGGTGCGTTCTGCGCAAAGCTTGTCCCTCATGCTGGAGAGTTTGGTGACTGGAGGGGTCTGGGCCTGAAGAAAAGGATAGGCACTAAATATAGCATTTCCAGTTTACCAAGAAGATTATTTTGGAGGGATGTGTCTGTGTTAGGGGTTGATGTGCCTGTTTCCATATAATAAAAATATCCTTCAACTGTGGGGGCTATGGAGGCTGTGGGGTTGGTCAAATGGAATTGATAGCTCTCAACTATTCTTAATTTCACGATATTTGCCATTTCCTTCAAACCCAACATCCTAAAATCTCTCTCTTTTTTTTTTTTTTTTTTCTCTTTTAAAGAAAACATCTGGCTTCAATTGTAAGGGAAAGTCTGAAAATACAAACCAGGGCTACAAGAACTAACAAATAATACTTCATGGTGCATTTTCAAGTGTTGAATTTTTTAATGCAGTCTCACAATGCGATGTCACATTCTTAATGATTTTTTAAATTATTGATATTGTTAGCAGATAAAAAATGAATAGCTTTTTTGAGAGGTAGAATAATGGGAAGATATGGAATAAATAAACAAATGGAAGAAAATGTAGGTGTTTGTGTTTTCTCTGTAATTGTACAAAAGCAGTAATAATTTTAATTCTTGTAGCATAGCAAAAGAAAATAAAAAAGCAGAACAAGTAAAGACATGGGGTAATAAAGCTTTGCCAGGTGCTTACCTACTGGAGATCAGGAAATTTTTGCAGTCTCCGTAATGTTGCTTAGTCTCACCATACTAATTTTGTGTATTTTAACTGTAGATAATTGAACAGGGACATAGTTTAAGGCATGAAAATGTAGAAGTCAGAATTTGGGGGCCATCTCTGCTGTCTTTTTAAATTAATAAAATAAGATCTGCCCTAAAGTAGTAGGGCTAGGCATATTATTGCTACTACCAGAACTGTCATAGAAAGGTTCCCACATTTTGTTTAAATTAAATAGAGATAGAGGCATAGAAAGTTCATTTGATCTTTTATAATGTTTTCATGGTTAATAAGATTTACGTATGACATTTTTGTATGATTAAAAGTACTGGAATTTCATTGCAGTAGACATTAACTCCTGTGATTGAAGTTAAGTGAGATTTTTTTTTTTTATAGCTAATCAAGAGTTTAACAACCTCTGGGGCATTTTAAGAAAACGTTATACTGTACTTAACGAACATTATACTACAAATAAGAGTGATATTTCTGTAATTAAAACAGTCTGGATATTGCTTAATGAATGTTTTTCTTATCTTAATGTATAGGCCATAAGGATTCATGTAGTTGCCTTTATTAACTTGTGGAGTTAGTTAAAAAGCTGGTTAAAACAGTAAGTCCATATCGGGTCAATATAAAATGCTTATGTAGGGATTTCATTGCTCTTATAAATCTGACTAGTTAAAAAATAAACACAGCTGCTTGTTTGTGCCATCCTGAGCTGTACTGCAGTGTGGAATTTCTGTCTGTAGACATTTCTAAAGTAAGTATTGCCCCGAACTCTGAGCTATTTGGGAGTGTTCTTTATCATCTCTTTAGAAAATATTTTAGAACTTGCTCCACACTGAAAACCAAAAGCAGAGAGTAATTCTTTTTCAATTATTATAGCTGCATTTGCTGAGGAACTAACAGCAGCGTGTGGTTGTTCTTACTCCTATCATATTACATCAGCTTTGATGTAATTACTTTTTTTTAATGTAATTACAACGTATTTTAGTTTCTTCAGCAATTTCATATTCGCTAATTGCTGGCTGAATTTTTCCTCACCGCTCAGCTGTTTGGCATAGAAACAAAGCAGAACTGATGCAAAATGAGGCTTCAATCTGAAATGCTCAATGAAACATAGATTGTATTTTTCCTTTTCATCAGATTCTGAAAATAACACGCAGTTTATTTCCCAGTTGAGAACGACTGCCTTTATGTTGTTAAAAAGATGTTCACCAGCTGGATTGCATCTGCAAGCCTCCAAATCTCAATTTTGCACCAGTCTGTGTCCCAAAAACATAAAAGAGGAGGTTGACCTACGAATAGCCTTCAAACACATATAGAAGAGTTTCAGCATCCCAAATGAATCCTCAGTCCTGCAGGCGCTTCAGCACACGGGCAATTGTAGGTGTTTGACGAGTGCTTTTGATTTCTCTGGGCAGAGCACATGCTTGAGCAGGTTTACAGGAGCAATCCCAACGTGCAGAGAAGATTGCGGTATGGTTTTGTTTCTCCTGAGTAGTAAAAGTGTCTGCGTTTTATTTAGTAGCGCAATTTGCATACACTTCTAAGTAAGTGCACAGGAATCACTGAGCTGTTGGTGCACGGCAAGTATAGTACGCCGTAAATTGTAAATCGACATGAAATACAGCCTCGTTGATGAAAAATCCTCAGAAGTACGAAGGAGACCTCATTTTGTGAAATCGCCTCACCACAACAGAAATTGGAGAGAATAGAAATGGTGATAAAACATCCGAAATCCTGAAAGATGCAAAGCGTGGGGCAAATGTCTTCCCTCTGACAACTTCCCTGGTCTATTGATACTGACTCTTCTTTGCCCAGCTGCTTCGTTTAAATATTACCAGGTGTAATTTTATTGTAATTACAACTTGAATCAGAGCTGTTTTTAGGGCCAGCCCTGTTTGCCGTTATCTCTTGCTGTGCATCGATGCATTTCTGACCCCGCAGCTCTGGTGCAGGCAGCTGCTCTGGCCAACAGCACCGCGGTGCTTCATCGGGGCTGATTTCACCAAGTGCTTGCTTCTTATTTTACGTGGAATTCGTTAGCGGTCCTTGGCTGTGGCTGTTTGGGCCTGGGATGGTAATGACAGTAATTAGCACCGATTTCCGAATCCCAATCTTGGTGTCAGCCCCGCAGCGCTTGGCACACATGCAGGCAGCGGGCCAGCGGCTGTGCGAGGAAGAGAGGGGAGTGGTGAAGAAAAGGGATGAAAAACAGAGGGAAAAAGCTCTGTCCAAATGCTGTTACCCATTTTTGTATGCGTGTGTGCACAGGGTTGTGGTTGGGTGCGTTTGGAAGCGTTCTGGCAGTTAGCAGCAAGGGCACTGTCCCCGGGCAAGGCAGGGAGAAGAATGTGAATTGTTCCCTGACAAGACAGGGGTGTTTGGGTGTGACTGCCCAAAGGGAGCATCTCCTCAAAACTCTGCTTTTCTGCAGAGGCCACTTCTCTGATTCTATAAAAGCATTGATTTGTGCTTGTTTTGTGTGCACTTCCTAAGGCAAAAATTGTTTACTGGGTTCTCACCAACAGCTCGTGGGTACTGTGTGCCGCATCCTCCTCCCAAACTGGAGGATGCTCAGCTTTAGAAGCCCTGTTTGTCCCTTGGTGTCACACAGCCCTGAGCACGCTTTGGTTTGTACACAAGAGTGATAAACCAAAACAAATCATAAATCAGTGCCATATACTCAAAGTAATCTCTATTACATTGCCACACACGTCTTCTAATAGCTGATCTCACGTGCAGTCCTTTCTGAGCCTTCTGATGCTGTACTGCCGAATCTTTGTCTTTACAGTGAGATGTTTTTGTGATTTAAAAAGGGTTGTCATTTCGTTGCAATTCTGTGAGAAATGTGTCATGCAAGAGCTTCTGTCTGGACGTTGTACGGCTAAATAAAATTCCCAGAAATCTCTGTGCGGCGTTGTGGATTAAATGTGCGAAGAACAGACACTAATCAGCTAAATGAGATCACCTGAAATTTACCTGTAGAAATTGAAACTTCAAAATGTGAGCGATGCAGCAGAGCCCTATTGGTGTGACACGTTGCAGAGAGGTATCCACATGGAATGAGTGGAGTGGCCCATCCACCACATGTCACGTATGTTACGGCTCCTCAAGACAGGACACCAATTAACCTTGGCAGCACACACACGTTGCCATGTATGCACACAGACTTTTCTGTGTGAGCAGCCCGTCGCTGTTAGTGGCAGGCAGCCCTGTCACCATGACCCGTTCTTTAAATCTTTTTAAAATTCCTCTATTAACCCCAAGAAGCATCACACCGTTGTCTTCCTCAAAAATGAACAATTTTTGCTGTCCTCTTCCTGCCCCCAGCCTTATTTGACCGTTCTGAGCAGAGAAGAGAAACCCCACCTTCAATCACAGCAATTCAGGGCATGGTGGGGCTCCGAGTGAACTAAAACAACGGGGTCAAATGTGGTTGAAAGAACATGCAGGGGTAAAGGTCTTTTTTTTTTTTTTTTTTTTTACATTTAGTGCTGGTGGGAGGAGAAAGTTTGGTTAACTATTTAACCTGTGATAGCCTTTCATCATTTTATGGCTTAGGGGTCCGTGGTTTCAAGCCATTGTCAGTGAGTTATTGGTTTGTGCTCAATCTGTGCCACAGCCAGGCTCTGGTTTTCAGTGATACGACTCACACAGGTTCACTGGAGATAGAAAAAAAACTACAAATAGCAGCTGGCAGCAGACATTTTCCCTAAAGTGACTCGCCAGCAACTTTTGCTGCGGTACTCTGTTTCCATCTGAACACTGAACTGCTTTCTTCTCCACACTTCTCCACACCACCATTTCTTTTCCCCGTGGAACTCTCCATCCCCAAGTCATTTCTCTCTGGGTTTGGGGAACAAGGTTTCAGTGCCCAGCCCACCTTGGCCAGCACTGCCATGGGGTCCCAGGCCTCCCCACACCCCATTACCCAGTTTCTCTGCTCCCCGTGCTGCCTCCCATTCTGCCCCTTCTGGAGCCCGCAGTTCATCATTCCCAGGTCCTCAGCCCAATTGTGGGATCCCTTGTGACTCTGCACGAGCTCTCGGGGTAATTCTTTTGCCTTCTCAAGAGCCGAGAGAGGGGGGTCACGCTCCCATCTTGGCTCCTGCCTTCTTACACCTGTACAGCTCCATCAGCGTCAGGAGCATTCATCGTAGCGCTGGGCTGCTGGGAGATCGCACCAGCCTTACTGGAGACTTAAATGGCAGGCAATGGCTCTTTCGGGATTCCTCGACTTCTCAGCAGAGCTGCTTTTCGAAAGTCCCAAATCACGGGAGAAAGCCGAGTTTGGGGTTTGAAGGCTTTCTTAATTTTCTTCCTTTTTTTTTTTTTTTTTTTCTTCTTTTGGTGCGTCGGCCTCAGTGGGATCAGAACAAAAGAAGAAATCAAAACGTAACGCGGAGCCTCTGATGTGTTGATCAGCCGCAGTTCTGATTTTAGCATAATTGGATCACCGTTAGCGGCGGTTGTGAGGCGAGGTGCCTGGATGCAGCGGTGCCTTCCTCGGCAGCAGACATCCCACGCCTTCCCTTTCCCCGCTGCCCCCAGCAGCAGAGCGCAGCGCCGCAGCCCGCACTTTGCCGGCGGAGCCCCGCGCTGTACCCGCACGGCGCTGCCCAAAGAGCCCCTTGTTTTCCGCCCGAGAAAACGGTGCCCTTTTTTTTTTTTTTTTCCCGTGTTAACTTCTCAACAATCGCGGAGAATTTGTTCTTTTGTTTTGTTTTGTTTTTCTTTTTTTTTTTTTTTTCTTTCTTTCTTTAAAAGTGCAGCCCTTTTCTCTTTCCTCCTTTTTCTCTCTTCTTGATATTTTTATTTCCCTTTTATATGGAGACTTGTAGATTTTGTCACTTCAAACGTCCGCTGGTCCTCCTCTTTTCTTCTGCTTTACAATACGCACTAGGAGATTTTTTTTTTTTTTTTTTTTTTTTTTGCATATTCCTCCCCTTTCTCAGTGAGATATTGTCGCTGACCAAATTTAAAACACTACAGTATTTAGGATCCCCGCGGTGCCATTTGAAGTATTTGGACCTGGAAAATGCCCCAAGCAATAACTACCTGAATTGCTTTTAATTACACAATATAGCTGCATCATTTTACTTCAGATTCTTTTTGATTGATGCTGTAAGGCAATTGTAACCATGGATGATGGGATTAAGTGCCTCTTGAAGTGACTTTAGCTTCTTGTGGGAACAAAGGGAAAGAAGAGAACACTTAGTCCCTTTTGGAGCGAACAGCCTTTTTTCACTTGCTATATAAAGAAATACAATTAACAAACATTATCCCCAGAGGTGAATTGAAATGTACGTGCAGACAATAACTGCTCTTGACTGCAATTAGACATATATGATCCGAGGAATTTTGGCCATTCATTAGTGCTAATTGTTTGAGAAACAAGCCCACAGAACAAATGATTAAAATGTTAGTGCCATAACCGGGATTATTAGCATGTGTGATAAAATGCATGCGCTGCAGCTGTACCAATAAAACTCTCGGGAAAGTCGCTTTGATTTGACGAACGCTCGGCTTGGCTGTGAGCTGCTCGTATTTGCACAAGGCCTGCTGATGTTTATAACAAACAACTTCTCGCTTCTTTTCTTAATTAGAAAGAATTACCATGCAAATTGGGGCGCTTTGTAATTTCGCGCGACTCGCCTTTGTCTTCGGTGGATCGTTTGTGCGTGTTGGGGAGCTGCTCCCTTGCAAATCAGACATAGTCAAACCGCTGCATTTAATTTGTGTGTTTTGTTGGTTTTTTTTCACACATCAAACAATTAGCTGGAGGAGACTTCGCTGTGTTAGCTGTGCTGCGTTCAGGGCCGCTACTTATGATCTTTAGAAACTTGTTGCCAGCACCGTGCTGTAGGAGTAGAGAGCTGGCCTACCAAGCCATGGGTATTTTCCCATCTGTTGGGCATGTGATGCTGTAGAGTCTCTTCTAGGATGATTGGGTCTGGCCAATAAACACGGAGCGGAGATGCAGGGTGAAGTGCTGATCTTGAGAACAACTTGTGGAAGTGCTTTACTTTCTGTGCTGCAATTTGTTGGCTCCAAGGAGAAGGCACAGGTGTGTACCATTCAGTATATGTGTGAACACGAGCAGTGCTGGAATATGACCATGCAGTATGCCTTGGGGTCATGGTTGTGCTTATCAATAGTTTCACTGGTTGCTGTCCCGCTGTATGGCTGCCATCACAAAGTGCAGCTCTTAGTAATTCAAGTGCTTTTGTTTTCTCCTTCCTGAGGATGAGCTATTTGCTGTTCAGGTAAACTGTTCTCAGAGGATCAAGAGTAACTTTAATTTGCCAGCTACTTTTATGTATTTAATGTAGATTTTAGTAGAATGTTATGTTTGCAGAAGCAATGTGCCTTGATCACCAAGACCCACAAGCATTCAACTTGCTCCTGGATGCTATGGATGGAAATATGCTGCGGTGAAACTACACACTGAGCATTATCCAGTAGCCTAGTCCTAGTTTTAACTCAGAGTGCTTAATGAAAGAAATATTGTCTTAGCATATTCACCTGGCTTATGTCTGTGTATTTAGTTTTAAACACAGTCAAGCTTAGTTTGAGTCATCAAAATACTTGTAGTCAGCAGACATGTAAGATTTTCTTCCTCTTTACAGCATGGGGTTATAACAAATTGCATTTCCCCTTTAAAAAAGCAACCACATTGGGGATGTTTTCACTCCATCAAAATAACAGAAGATGATATCAAGATAGTACTTGCTGCTGGAATAGCTAACTGTTAGTATGCATGCCACTGTCAGATTTACAAGGTGGCAAGTGGATTTTGTTGTGGAGCTGCTTCTTCCTGGGCAATTCGTTCTATTGCAGAACATAAAATTTGGCTATGCAACACAAATGTGCAGTGAGAATGGGATTTTTTTAAGAATATTTGGCAAAATAATATTGTCAGATTGTTTATTGCAGTCACACCTAAGTATCTTTGATAAAATTATTTTGCACTCACATTTCTAGAGCTCTTTGTTTGGGGAAGAGAAGGTGGTGTGTTGGTCAGCCAACAGCAGTTCCTTCCATACACTCCAGTTTCAGACAAACGTCCTGAAAAAGCTACTTCATGTTTCGTAAGACTATTAATTTGACAAACTGTCAATATATTTTTCTAATATTTTGTGTCTGAGAAGCCTGCCTTTTGTGCCCCTGGGGCTGCAAGTTGATTAACTGAGGAGAGCCCAACATTTTCTAACACTGAGCCCAGTAGGTTCATGGATTAAATACGCTGCTTCTTGAGGGGAAGCCGCATTGCTGCCCCATCTAGAGGAGTGTTCACAGATGTGAGTGGGGATCTGTAGCTAAGGCTGCTCTGTTGGCAGTGAGGGTTTCACCCGTGCCATTGTGTGATAGGAGATATGTCTCCTCCTGGTGTTCTCTGAGATGGTGGTTTTGGCCACTTCTACCAGGGTAGGATGGGTTGGAAGGCTGGTGGGAAGCAACGCCTTTGGGCATTATGGATTTGAAGGCATCAGAGATGAAAAATAGAAATGAATCGCTTTTATCCCCTCATACATGTCTAGTGAAGGACTGCAGAATTCTTTACTGACCTGTGTGTGTCACACTGAAAAAAGATCCTCCATTCTTCCACTTCCTCCTTGCTCTTCCAAAGTGTACTGTTGCAAGAAAATGAGATTAAGCAGACTTAACTAGCAGCCACTTGAGTTGCCTCAAGTTTTATCATCACCCCCTCTTCAACACGAGGCTGTGAGTGTGGAATGGTTTGTGGGAGAGGAGCAAGGAAGGTGCTCAGGAGAAACTCAGCTGGCGTTGATTATCAAGATCTCCAGCACCCATGTTTTGGAGCTGCTACAGCTGGAGATAAGATTAACTAATGAGGTTAGCGGCATAGTTTGTGACAAACAGTGACGCATTTCTGTTTAACACCAAAGCTACCATGTTGCTTAGGTTGAGACACATTACAAGGAAGAGATTGGTGTGGGATTTCTGTGGGCTCATGAAGTGAGTCCACCCAGGATAGGCAGCAACCTGGCAGAGGAGCTAGTGGAGTAATTGTCCTTTTCTGATTAGTTTGCTGAGATAAAATGTAATTAATTAAAGTTTTCTTCGTGTTTTTAATTCAAGATCTGTCTTTCAGGATGCCAAGTCTAGGGGGAGGAAGAATGCATTGGTAGGGTTAGTTTAGAAAGTGGTCTGTCAGCAAGGCATCACATTGGCTCTGATGTAGATTGACTGAACTCATTTCCAGATGTTTGAGAGGGTTAGTCACTTTTGAAAAAAGCCTTGTGTGCATGTAGCTGTGTGTTATTCAGATGTAGCGACCTGGGAAATATTGTTAAGAGGGACACAGGAAAATGCATGGGTCCCTGACGTGATGTGATAATGACATATTCAGTGTGGTGCTAGAAAAGCTTTGCATTATTCAAAGTGCTGAATAATATACATGATAATGCATAACGGTGTTGGATTATGGTAGGATTATTTTGTGACTTATAAGTGACTCGTGCACTGGCTATGAAGATGAGTTGTTTTATTTTGTCCTCAGTTTTGATGTAGCAGAAAATGTCTGAGGGGTACAGCTTGAAATAGGTAGGGTAGGGCAAGGGCTTTTTTTGAAAGGCCATGAAATGCAGTGGTGCTGTTTGCAAAATATTTCTCTGTGCCTGTAATTATGGAGCAAGGCAAGCTCCCTACTGTGCTCGAGGGCAGCCTCTTCCAGCAGCCCTGCTGCCTCTGAACAGATTTGGGGTGGGTAGGCCACAGCCTTACCAGGAATGATCAGCATGGAGTGGAGACCATCACAAACCCAACACCTACAACCACTCAGATGAAGCCCACTCAAGCCCTGTGGCACTACAGGCTCGTACCTGTGCTGAAGTGTGGGGCACGAAGCCTTTATAAGCATGAAGAGATTCTGTAGCCAACTGGCCTGGTGATGATGTTGGTGGGCTTGTGAGGCTCTGCCAGCATTCCTAGTTTTTCTCGTTTCCCTCTCCATCCATTTTGCTTATTTAAAGTTTGCATGAAAATACGTTTGTTGAAATAATCCTAAGGTTGCAAAATCAACCTTGCAAAATGGTGTTTGTTTAACCAGCCTTCCTTCTTCATTCACAGCATGCCATCCAGCTCCTGCAGCACATATGGCAGGGAGCAACCCCTGTCTTAAAGCAGCCCTGACTTGCTCCCAGCACAGCCTGTGGAAGAGTCCCATGGCAGAGGGGAAAAATAAAATAAAAACATTTCTGTATTTAGTACTTTTCATGGGGCATGAAATAAGCAGTGCAATTAAGGCCACGTGGATAACCTCAGCCCTAACATTTCTTCAGGTCTGGGTGCTATAGTTTGCAACTTCTGTTGAACATGGTGTTTTGGGGGTTCTATACCATAATTACCTTTAATACTGATATCTCCCTACCTTATCTCTTCCTGAGAAATAAATTCAAAAGGCCACTATCTGGATAGGAAAGTTTCATTTTCAACCTTGTGATTCTATGATTCTATGATTCTATGATTTTTAAGATATCGTCAAGTATTCTTTTAAGAGCCTAATTTCAACTTTATCCTTTACAGGCTGAGTTCTTCTCTGCCAGCTGGTGTTCCCAAGCTGAGCTATCGCTTTGCATCATCTCACAAGTACATTCCCAGGAGAGCTGTGCTGTATGTACCTGCGGATGATGAAAAGAAGATACAAAAAATCCCATCACTAAATGTCGATTGTGCGGTGTTGGACTGTGAAGATGGCGTGGCTCTGAACAGAAAGGTAATTAAAAATTATCTATGCAATACAATCAGCGCTAACTTGGATGTGTGGGCAAATATTGCCTTTGCCTAAGGGGAAGTGGCAATCAGACAGACGAAGATAAATCTAAAGATATACAAAGTAAAGTGATAGTGGTAGGTTTTGTGAAGATGTTGGAAAACGTGCTTACCCAGAACTGCAAGAGATGGCCCCTAAGTGGGAAGCAAGTTTTGAAGGAATGCAGGGCTGGGCATAAGCACTCACCGCAGAAAAGTGGGAGGTGCCATTATTTTTGCCACATATTTCTTGTAGAAAAAGAGGAAATAGACTGTTAGAAGAGAAGCAGGGAAGGAAGAATTGGCTCACAGTCATCAAGCAGGAATTTTGTTGTTGAAACAAAAGTTTCAGATTGTGAGCAAGAGTATGGGTTCAGGCTTGAGCCTTGGTGTATTTAGAAATATTTACTCACTGAGATTTTCAAAGGAAATGTTGGTAGGGTTATTTCTGAATAAGTTAGAACCCAAGTCCACCAGGGACTGAAGGGCATTTTAGATCCAAGGAGCTGCAAGAGATCAGGCAGAGTGAGAAATAAATGTAGATGTGTGAAGTACCAGTGCTAAGTTTTTGATGATGTTCGATTTTGTGAGAGAGAATGATCCAAACATGCTTTCATATATCCTTGCTAGCAATCTTTTTAAAGTATCTCAAATGAACCATTAAAATGTTTCACATCTCAAGTAATGCATACCAGAAACTGGTTTGAATCTTTCACAATGAAAGGTATTTTGGAACTGGAATATAAATGTGCCAAAGCATCATCTTCATATTTGTAAGTGTTACTGTTCATTTTACAGTATCTCAAACAAAAGCAAGCACTATTTAGGGTTTGAGTATTAACGTGTTGTCCAGAAAGTTATGAAAATAGGCTTGAAAATTTTTCCATGTAATTTCAAAAATGTGGATGAAATTTTATTCTTTTCAGTTTCTTGGGGGTTAATGTTTTCCAGAAGGACTCAATTTGGTAGTGTTCCCTTTAACTTCCAGGTCTTCTGTACAAGTATGTTGGAAAGAAAAATATTACGGAGTTTTCACATAATAATTCCAGCTCTGAAAAGTGAAAATAGTGCTGCTGAATGTTCATGTGTACTGATGAAGGCAGATGGAAACATTTTCCTGTTGCTAAAATTCTGTGTAAAAGGCTGAAATTATATCTGCTGTCACAGTGAATTAGTGTTGTTTAGTTCACGTTTGGAAGGCTGATACTGTAAGATGACACAAGACACAATTGTGTGTTAAACTAGCATTTTTAGGTGCAGCTTAATTATGTAAAACAAACCATTTATAGCAGAGGCATCAATTTGTAATACAGGATGACAGCAAAACGAAATTTTATGATCAAGGTGACAAATTTGATAGTAGTCATTTCTAAAGGGTTATAAAATTCCAGCTTTGTTGAAGTGAAGGGGAGCTGTGCCACTGGCTGTAAGATTTCAAAGAAATTAGGAGAAAATTATGTAATACAGACTGGAGGTGACAGACAAGACCCTGACTGAGCTTAAATGCAAACAAGAAGCAGATAGGAGGTAAAAGTAGGGGCAAGCTACCAGAGAGCAAGACAGAAGTGCTGCCTGGGCACACAGGGACAGAAGGTAGAAGGTCAAAGCTTGGCTGGAATCTAAACCAGTGAAGCTTGAGCAGGTCAGCAAGAATGGCTAGTAGGAGTATATCAAGGAGAAGAGAAAAGGAGAAGAAAGAGTAGGTGAAGTGTGGACTCACTGCTCCATGAAGCCTCGGGCTTTATTGTCGGAGTCTGCTCTCAATCCTCCTAGGGCATTTCTTAGAAGCAAAATTTGTGGCAGGAGGACATAGCCACAGTAGGGGAGGATGAAGTTAGGGACTATTTAAGCTGGTCTGTGGGCACACTGGAGGCTGCTGAGGGAGCTGGCTAATGTCATCCTGAAGCTGCCATCAGTCGTCACTGAAAGGTCATTGCGTCTGGGGTGGTTCCTGATGCCTGGAGAAAAGAAAATGCTACAGCCATCTTCAGAAAGGGTAAGAATGAGGAACCACAGGCCAATCAAGCTCTCACTAGTGTTTGCAAAAGCTGTGGTGCTTGTCCTCACTGAAGTTATTTCATGGCCATAATGGACTGATCAAGACCAAATCATGCCCAACAAATCTCTAAATAAGTGATCATGTTTTAGTATGAGAGATGAAAAGAGGTCTACCTTGACTTTGTCAAGACTTTGGCATGGCCTTACACAGTATCCTGTTAATCAGCCTGAGAAGAAATGGATTGTGTGGACAGACTGTAGGGTTGGTGGCAGTTTGGCTGGACGTGGGTGATGCGTGCTGTGTATATTTTGCAGTTGCCCCTTGTGGGGCCAATACTATGAAAATTCTTCATCTGCAGCCTGGTTGATGGGATGGAGTGCACTCTCAGCAGATTCATGATCATAGCAAATTGGAATGCAGTTGATAAGCTGGAAGGGGCAGCTGTTTGCAGAGACGTAATGAAGTCCAGCCAAAATAAAAGTAAACTCAGAATCATAGAATTGCTTAGGTTGGAAGTTGGCCTTCAAGAACATCTTATTTCAACCCCTCTGCCATGGACCACTTGCCAACCACTAGACCCTGTGATCTCAAGGACAAACCAGGTGCACAACTGCCCTGGTGCAGCTCTTCAAAGAGGCCCTAGCAGTAGCTGTTTTAAGTGCAGCTGAAGAGGTTTCAGCAGTGCACCCTGTGGCAAACGTGGCCTACTGCCTCAGAGTCATGCTGCCAGGGATGCAGGCAGGGTTCCTCGCCTTCAATTAGGATGGTGAGATGAGCAGTCGGTGGCCAGCAGGAGGCCCCAGGACAAAAGAGGCACTGAGAAATAGGGGGGAGCCTGTGAGGGGCCAAGGTGGTCCTGGCACAGGGGGAGAGGCTGAGGGAGAGGAGTTTATCCTGGTGAGGAGAGAGCAGAAGGGACCTTGGTGAGGCCCTACTTTGATCAGGCGGATGGAGATGTTCTACTGAAGTCTCTTCCAACCTATGAATTAGTCTGTGTGATTGCATGACCTAGTAGCAAAGCATAATTCAAAGTGATTGGAAGATCGAATTTCATTTTTAGATCTGCCACAGATACTCAGGAAGACTTTGATTATTAGGTTCTGTGAATGTGAAGCTGAAATTGTTACTGCTCTTGCTGCTTAATATATTAACATTTCTGAGGTGTTTGGAGACTTTGTGTGAAAGATATGTCAAGAATATGCACTGAAGTACCATATTCAGTGGCCCATTGCAAATGGGTCATCTAAAACTGAGAAAAAAATACTGGGTAATACAACAACACTGAGTTTGTCCTTTTGATTCATTATTCTTAAAATAAATAGTGCTGATGATTTTTGCTGTTTACTGCCATGTTTTGTAACAACAAAAATTCCACCTGTGAATTTTCTTGAAACTACTATTCAGTGTTGGGATTTTGGAAAGTCAGAACCTGACTGAACATTCACAGTGCTTTGGGCCAATTTCATCTGCTTACACAAGGTCCTTGCTTTAATCATATCCAAGCAGCAAATTTGAACAACACCTCATCAAGTCTGTTTTACAAGAGTCTGTGTGGTACACATTCAGGTTATGCTAAATTCAGATGGATCAACAATGTGGAATATCAGCAGTTCCATTTGTTTTAAAATGAAAAGTCATTTGCAGTCTGAATATAGAGTCATAGAGTCATAGAATCATTTGAGTTGGAAGGAACCTTTAAAGGTCATCTATATGTCAAACTGCAATATTTCTGTAGTATCCAACCTGTTTGTCTGTTTTTTTTCCTTAACAAGACAGTGCCTCTCTCTGCCCTGCTTAAACAGCAGTCTTGATGTCATGGTCTCTGCAAATACATTTCTGAAACATCCCAGAACCCTGATAATTGTCTGTATTCAGGTGTGTATTCAGCGGAGAGCATATTCTGCCTCACCAGGTAAAAAGGTGCTGGAAGAAAGAAAAACTAATTGGCTGCAGAGTTCAGGTTTCTTGGAGGAACATCTTTATTTCTCCACACCTGATACCCCTGTTGGGAGCAGGTAATTGCAGCGTGATTGTCTGCACAGAAAGTAAAGCCATATGCAAGTCTTTGCTCGTTTTGAGACAGTGGCATCATGGGCAGTTCAGTGATCAGGGAACAGCTGGCAGGAAAACAGCCTCCTTTGGTTATAGCATTTTCTTTGTAACTTCCTCTGCTTAGTTCTTCCTCATCCTCTAGCATGAGTCCCCTTCCAGGTTCCTCTGGACCTTTGCCTGTCTTCTGCTTCCCAAAGTCTTCTCTTCGTCTAGCCTTTGGTCATGGCTCAGCAGCCTCTGGTCCCATCACTTAATAAATAGCTTTCCCTCAATGTTAGTTTTTGTTCGGATGTGCCAGAATGTTAACCCCAGCAGTGGTGTTAGACCTAATTGCCCTTTCATACCAGGGAATTAAATCCTGCCAGCAGTATACAAATATTTATCACTCTTTCTCATAAAAAAAATTTGACATACGAAGCTTCACATTACTCATGTTTTTTGCAATACATGTATAAAAACAATCTCTTGGATTAAATATGTTTGGGAAACTTCCGTGGGATCCCCCAACATGAAACACTTGACTTGAAATTGAGTAGTATTGCTGTTTTTCCCCTGGAACTGAAGAGATTTCTTTCATCCAATAAAAGTAATTAATATTCAGGGCTGCACTCTAAAATGATGTCAGACTAATGAGAGTTTAAGTTCTTTTGCTGTGAGACAGGATTCTATCACTTTATGTCTTGTAGAAGGAAGCTGCCTGCTCCTCCTGCGCCTGAGCAGTAGAAGCTGGGGAAGAGGAAACTGTACTCCATCCTTTCCTCTCATCTCTGCCTTCAGCGGGCAAACAGCAGGCCATGAACCTTCCTGCTCTCCCTGCGCTCCTCAGCAGTGAGGGGAAGTTCAATTTGGCTGGGAAGATGGGTAGGGAAGGACCTATTTTGGCTTATCTGCAGCATGGTCTCTTAGGGTCAAAG